ACCACCACTTCCCTTTCCCCCAAACACTCGTATTACACAGAGGTGGTGCCAGGAGGGTCCAAGGGATCTGTTTTCGTACCTTCTCTTCAGGTACGGTGTGAGCTTCGACGGATTTGGCCGGTGAGCAGGGCGCTCCGTTTTTTCGTACCGACCCTGCAGGTGAAGGGACGAAAACGGATCCCTATAGGGGCTTCTGGAGCCACTTCTCACCAAAACGGAGCCACTTCTCACCTTCACACACCATTCGTTGGAGATATGTTGGGTGATGTTGGGTGTATCCCACTCTCCCCGGGCCTGGATGATGATGGGGCCTGGTTGCAGGGCCTGTTACTGATTGAATAGTAACTTCTGTTATTGACGGTTGCAGACGGGGTTTCCCACAAACTGGTGCCGTGGAGTCCGAGTCTTCGCAGCGATCCCGGACCATCCCTCGCTGCGAAGACTGGGAAAACCCTAGGCCCCCAGGCCGAGCAGCACGCCTCGGTGCCCGTCCCAGGCGGATGGACTGCCAGAGTGACATATCGGAGGTGAAAACCGAGGGTGAAGCCGGGTTCCTTGTTAGACGGACACAAGGGATGAAGGAGACAAAATACACATGAAAAACACATCATGTATACGAACAAAAAAACTAAGAACTATAAAATAACCATCCAGCCAGCATGCCTAGTTGAGCGACCACTAGTTGAGCGACCTGGTGGCCTAGGGCCGAGATCCATGGTTCTCAGATGTTCTCAGTTCCATTCTGAAACCAGGCTGGAGGCCATCGCTGGTCTTGGATGGAGGCCATCACTGGTCTTGGAGAGGTTTTATGATAGATCACAGCTCAACGTCGACCCATGACCTGGCGCCATGCGAAAGACCATATCAATTCGTCCAGCATCATGCAGCATGTGCGGCAACCCGCACCCCAAAACAATCAAGAATCACCACTCCCTACAGGGCAGGAACGGACCTCATTCTATCAGGTCAGTTAATCATACACTGTACTGCACACACTATATTCAATGAACACGACAAGGAAGTTTTCAGGACCCAAATCAAACTGGACCTGTAAGAGCTCCACACTCCAACTGGATCAGTTCTCATAAATCTGTTTGAACTCTAATACCTAGACCCTCCCGCGGCAATATTTGTGCCGTAGGCTGTTGAGGCATTTTTTTGCGGTAGCTAGTTTTTTCTGCCGTAGTTCAACCCCTGGAAAGTGAAAACGCCGTCACAAAAGAAAAATCGCCGTTTTGTTTGATCTGCCAAAGAGGATCTTGTTTTGGCCCGTCTATACCCTGGGATTGCCCTCTCTTTTTCACTTGCAAGTAGAGCTCATCGTTTTCAAGCCTCATGGTAGCACTTGTCAAGATGTTACAGCCCTTGTCTAAGGTCTCGATTGACATCACGGCAGGATTTGTTCACATTTTGATCACGCAATGGCTGAAAGGATCGATTGTGACAAGTCCTTCTGCCGCCTTGAGTGTCCTTCAGAGAGGGTGCAGGGAACAACGGGAAAACACCGTAAGTACGGGGAAAAACGCCGTAAGTACGGGGACAAACGCAGCAAGTACGGGTAAGAGCGCATTAAATGCTAAGTCTTCTGCAATGTCACGAAAAGCGGTGAAAACCCAGCCTGTGACACTTCCATCAGCTGCCCTTTCCACTTCACACGAGTACGCAAATTTGCTAATTAGATGATGATTAGATGCCTTTTGCGTTCAGTCGCCTTTCAAACAAGACCTTACAATGTCTTCATGCTCGCCCGCACTAAAAGGAAATGACTCGAAGCGCATGGATGCGTGGACCAAAATTGCCGTCAACTGACCGCAACTGCCGCGCAGTTCATCAAGAAACGCCGTCCCCATGGGTTCGCCGCGGCCCACCGCGTGGCTGGAGCGCAGCAGCGGAGCTGAAGGCCTGCCGAGAGCAAAACCATCAGTTGGAACCCAGGATGTCTACCCTTGGTTCTCCAGGTCTGCTCCAGTAATGCCAAACAATAGAGAGAGATCCAATAAACAGAGATCGCTCACAGTGTTTGGTATCTGGTTGCTGCCACTGTGTCGAAACCTCTGGCCCCAACCTCACCAAAGCAAAAAGAAATCAGGGTCCAAAATGTTTTCGTTTTTTCGGGAGGGCCACCCTCAGAACATTCCAGTGGTCCAACACAAAGAGACCGCGTGCGGTATGCGGTATCTGGCTTAGGCCACTGCGTCGAAAACTCGGACCAAATGGAACTAAACGAAAAATAATCAGGCTCCAGAAAGGTTTTTTGGGGAGGGCCGCCCCCAGAACATACCAGTGATCCATCCAACACAAAGAGACCGCGTTTGGTGCTTGGCTTGATCTCGTGTGAATTAGCCAGTGGGCCGGGGCTCTTTTATGTCTGACTGCATGTGTAGCTCAGCCCTCAGAAAGAACTTTTCGCGGCCTGAAAAGTTTGCTTTGGCGCTGCCTGTCAAGCTTGTGTGGGCTTTTCACCCGTGGTCATTAGTCTTGCAGTGTGTTGCAGAAGGTCCCGTGGCCTAGTGGTCTCTGTCGCGTCCCCCTACCCCAGGTCTCTGGTGCAACTCCTCCCTGGCGCTATCGCTGTGTTTCTTTGCAATCGCGACCCGGAAATAGAAACAACTGTTCGTGGCCTGAACAGATTTTTGTTGGCCATGCCAGTGCAACACGCGAAGACTCCCAAAGCAGGAAGCTCAGGAAGACAGTCTCCCGCAAAAAAAGTGATGTGGGAGCCAACTCCCTGGCTGAGCCAACTCCCTGGCTGGACCCAGTTAGATACCAGGAAGCGGCCCGCCCAGGTCCCAGCCCGCCTTCCAGCAGAGGTGGCGCCACCAGCAAGCCGCAGCAAAGAAGTTGGGAAGTGGAAAGGAGGTGTTTGGTGCGCGGGAGGGAGAGAGAGAGAGAGAGAGATGGTGCCTGAAGGGGCCATATAGCGACCTCACAGTATAGTCCCTTATTTCCAAATGTTAGGTCGTAATTTCGGGGTGACGTCGGGTGAGGTCGCTATAATTCAACCTGAGAAACTGCAAAACGAAAGCCAGCGTTTTTACTTTCGAGTGTGCTTTCTCCCGAATCCCCCTTTTTACTCAGCTGGCGCCTTGCCAGGTATAGATACCCAGGGTAGCTACAATTCAGTTGCCAGGTATAGTACTTCCAGTTCCCTTTCCGTCAACCGCTCGATAACCTTTACACATGCACAGCAAACCACAGCTTTGAAGTCTCATTCGTGCTTTGAACTTATATAGGTGTGTAAGTTTTAAAAGGTATAGCAACATAGCATTTATACGGACCCAGGGCAGCTACAAGGCTGTTGCCAGGTATACCCTGAGTTGCGCGGACCCAGGGTAGGGAAATTGAAGTGGGATACCTGGCAACAGAGTTGTAGCTACCCTGGGTCCGTATAAATGCTATGTTGCTATACCTCTTACATGCCTATATAAATTCAATGCAAGAATGAGACTTCAAAGCTGTGGATTGCTGTGCGTGTGTGAAGGTTATCGAGCGGTTGACGGAAAGGGAACTTGAAGCACTATACCTGGGAACTGCACTATAGCTACCCTGGGTATCTATACCTTGCAAGGTGCCAACTACACCTTACCATTCAGATGATGCAAATGATGCAAATTGCATTTCTTGCATCACCACCCCTCAAAAATCACCTCCAACACAGCCTCAAAAAACCTTCCATCCGTCCACCCTCCTCCCCCAGCATGTGCCGAGTTTACGTGTACCTTTTGCAGGCACCCCCCCCCAGACCCCTAACTACTCACTTCGTTCGCCAAGCGCAACTCAGCTGGCGCCTTCTACGAAGGCTGGCTTTCGTAACCAGGTAAATATGTTCATTATATTTCAAGGCATCTCATGACGCCATTTGTTCGATGGCAATGGGGGCCCTAAGAACTCAAATGCCAGCAAGTGCAGGCTGTGCACAACCTTTATTGAATCATGACTGTGCCAACATCAACAAACACTGTTTGGCCAATTCGATGCTGGTTGTCTGGCTCTAGAAGCTCTAGCGCCAACCCGATTTCAGCTTGGTCACAACAACCAGAAACATTCAAGCACCTATCAGGTCACCTACGCCCCTGTCTCAACTTTCTCTGCTGTCATGTCGACCTGAAATCTGTAATCTACACATGAAAGATTCTGTAAGCAAACTTCCTCCACCAGCTTCTTCAAAGTGACCTTTTTGGAGTCCCCAAGTGACCTGTTACAGGCCTGTTCGTGACCGAACCAACCAGGATGTCAAGTTCGGTCACGAACTGAAGAACCAGGCAAGCCATCATTCAACCTTCGCCAACGGCCTGAGGCGCGAACCCAATGCACGCGTGGTTTCAGGGTTCTCCCTGATGTGGATTCGACCTGGAGTGCTCCAGGCTCCGGTGGCAGCAACATTCGTTCATGACTTGGCGGGCTTGTGACCTCGTCAGGGCCAAAAGACTTGAAGGACCTGGCTCAACAAGTCAAGGTTCCCACCCGCAAGGGCCGTGAAAACAACATCGTTCCGAGCTGCCGATTCGGCAGCTCGGAATTGCCAAAGACCCTGCGGCCACAGTACTTCGAAGAGAAGAAAAAAACCAGGGATCACGCTAAAAGCATTGTTTCAAACATCGGTCGAAGAAAACGAGTGTCTTAGGATTTCAGAACCAGCGCAGATTTCAGACACCCTGACAGTCGGCCACCATGCCGGCAAAGGCCCAACTGCCTGGCTTAACACTCAAACACTCGAAGATATTCTTAGGCTCATAGGCCAATCAATGCCCATCACACAACACTAGACTTTAAATGATTTTATATAGATGATTTTAATATAGCCCATGATTGAGTCCTGCTTCTCCAAAAGAAGACTCCAGTGGTCCAGAGTCCAAACAGGCAAATGAAGGGGTGTCGCCCTCCAGAGATGAGCTGCAGCCAAAGATCTACGTCCAAGCTGCCGGGACGAACTCCCCCTGCTCAGACTCTGTCCAGTCTGATTCGCGGTACCCCCTCTCCCCCTGCGCGCCCCCTCACCCTGTTCTCTCGCTGCGGCTTGGCCGACTTACAGCTTGTGGTCTCTTATTTCAGTGCAAACGTGCTGACTGAAGCACAAATACAAGGACTGAACCATTCCGGTGACTAGAGCAGAGTAATTAGTCGCCACGGGTGGGCTTTCAAAGATCTAGAGTTGCCATGCGCTTTCCTCAGAGACATTGTCGTCGGGAGCGCTGCCAACCATGCCCAGGTCATAGGCCTCGAAGTCTTTCTCCTGCTCCTGCTCCTTCTTCGAGCCACAGCACAAGTGGACGATGCCTGCGAAGGTTTCGACGATGGCCTCCCCAACGATGAGGCCCAAAGCAAGTGAAATGGAAGTCACCATGAGGCCAGCGAAGGTGTTCTCGTCTGACCCATCCATGGGTGGGATGATGGTGTTGAACCACATCCTGGCGATCATTGAGCCAGGCACCAGTTGGTAGACGGCCGGCATGAGCATGGCCCAAATGTTCATAGATTCGGCATAGACAATCGTGTCCAACAGCAGGTCCTCTTCTTCCGGCTCCAGCTTGATGTCGCTGCGGGGATGGTCTTTGTCCTTGACCTCCTTGCTTTGTTGGTACAGCTTCTTCTCAAGCTCAAGCATGTGTTGGTCATGTTTCCTGCCGATCCCGATGCAGTTGAAGCACTTCACAACACCAGAGATGCAGCCGTACAGGATGTCATCAAGCTTGGAGTCCGTCTCATCGCGGTGGGCTCCACGTTGCAAGAGCTGCGCGTAGTAGATGGAGTTGATCTTGTCCATCATGGCTGACAAGAAGCATGCTGTGACGACACTAGCTGCCGCTCCACACACGTTGGAGGCCATCACGTCCAAGTTGTCCTTGATGCCAGTGTCTCGGCGGCTGTCCACGAAGTACCTGCTGACTTGGAACTGGACCTCGTAGCCAGCAAGTTGCACCAGTAGCCCGCGCCAGTACTGCTCCAGGCGGAAGCGGTACTGACCCAGAACAGCAGCTGAGCACCCCACGTAGAGCAGAATGCGCGAGTACTGCGGCCAGTCCACAGCTAAGTCGATGGTGCCACAGTACTGAGCTTGATCATTCCAAACTTGGGCTGGGTTTGTGACCGTGAGCAGCATCCCGAAGCATGCCATGACACACAACACAAAGGTCTTGATGCTGACCGCCATGAAACGGGTGACGCCCGTCTCCAGCTCCCCAGCCAAGATCTCCACCAGGCCGACCACAAAGGCGGTGCCATAGAAGAACCAGTACAAGGTGCCCATGAAAATGGACACGAGGCAGTACTTGGGCTCGTGAAGTTCCCAGAAGAGGCTGCCAATGACGCCCGTGAAGAGACCCACCGCCAGGTCGATGAGCAACGTGGCCTCACCCCCGACCCTCAGTAGGCCATACTCCAATAGGCCGGTCACGAGGCCGCAAAGGGCGGCCACTCCCGCCTCTTTGTGCGTGCCGCCGAAGAAGATCACGGCACAGGTGGAGGACATGGCTGGCAGGACGATGAGTCTGCCTGGGTAGTCACGGATGAACAAGCCAGTCTTGGCTGTGTGCTTCCCTTGCTTGGCCTCTTCTTGGAAGAGGAGCGCCTCGTGTACAGTGAGATGTCCACTGTATAGAGCAGAGGCGATCCTCATGAACATGTCCTGCATCCACAAAGAGATCAAATTAATGGAAAACACATCGACAAAACGGAGACAAGCACTGCAAGTTAAGACCTCTTTCTTGCTTACATAATTTATCATGTCTTTTGCCATGTCCTGGAACTCAGAGTCGTAGTCATAGGGCACCTTACGCTGTAGCTCAAAGTCGCCATCCTCCATGAAGAACTTCAACTTGATCACGCCGAGCTCCCAGGTCATTCTGAGCCCAACCATTTCTGAGCACTTCTTCAACGTCTTCGAAGTCAAGAGGGTCATGTTCCAAGCCCGGTGCATCTCCATGGCGGTTTGCATGTTGAAGACGAAGAGCAGGGCATATTCCTCATCAAACCTCTCCTTGAGAGAGGTGTACACCCGAAGCATGTCCACTGGCAGCTTGCTGGGGTCAAAGCGACGCTCTGAGAAGGACACGTGCTTCCGCAGTCCATCCGTCTCCTGAAGAGCTGCGGTGCTGCACACCCGCTTCGGCGATGGTGTCACGTCTGGCATGGCGGGGGCTACGCAATCAAAAGCGCGGCTAGCGGCTACCTGCCTCCTTGAAAGTCACAAACTCTGTGGGGACGGATGATGCGAGCATTCTCGACAGGAGCGGTCTCAGTTGTATCACCACTCAACATCCCTTGGAGGCCATCGCTAGTAGCTTGGAGGCTGCTCTGTGTGGGAACAGGCCACCGACCATCTCCGACCATCTCCGACCCTGCTCGGGGCCCCCAACGGCTCGGAGCGCTCGATGACCTGGGCGCTTTCACGGCTCCGATCTAGAGGGGTGTGATGTCTGTGACAGCTGGGTGTCACGTCTCTTGCAGTGCCGTTAACACATCATATTGGCAAAAAAAGAGTGTGTAAATGGCCCAAGGTGGGCAAACCATTAGTCCAATGTTGACACCTGGGGCAGCATGTGATGTCCCGGGACGCGATGTCCTGGGGCATGATGTTGGTCCACATGGGCCTCCAGGAGATTTCAAGGCACGGTGAGACAAGGTGAGCCAAAAACACAGGAGAGATGACCAGGGCATGAAGGTAGGAGAGATATATAGGTTGAACATGCATTGTTTCAGAACATTTTAGGAAACTCGAAATCAATTTGTTGGTACATTTGAAGGTGGAATGATGCGGCATGTCTCAAACTGACATAGATGGATGGAGAATCGGATGGGCCATTGGTTGCCCGGTCGCCTCTTTGCTAAGGGCCCTTCCAACAAAGGTTGAAGAACCCGAACTAGGCTATCTCATAGGTACCCTGGTGACGGGTCCTATTTACGGTCACTGGCTACCTCTGTTGGTTTCGTTCGTCCGAGTTCGCCAGCAAGCTCACCGAGCGCGCGCGTGAACGCACGCTCCGGGTTCAGCTGCTTGGACCGGTCGCGTGCAGCGCCTGGAATCTATCTCTGGTTGAGCGGACTCAGAAAGGCCGAGATCACGGCCGTGATTTCTCCTTCTTCTCCTTGTCATCTTTGCCTCGCACGCGGCACGCTGCGCGCGAACCAAACACACCCCCCAAAAAACGGCCTAAACGCAACGGAAGCGCTTCGTTTCGTTTCGCGCCGCTAAAAACAACGCGAACGCGGAAACCCGTCGTTCACGGGCTAAACGGTGGGTATGCGGAAAGTCTGCGGCCGTTCTGCGGGATCCGGGCTGGTTCAGCTTGGTCTAAAAGCAATGAAGAAACCACCCAAATGCAAATGTAAGGAATATACCCTAGGGCTCCTGGCCTAACTCCTGAGAATGGGTTTGGAGGGGTTAACCACCTTCTGATGATATGGTTGGAGCCGGATATTCACCCATTATGATTCACACAAGTTGACTACCCGATGTACCTGGAGGTCAATATTCCAGTCCCATGGATTCTTTGGGTGCTGCTTGCCATATTAGCCATATTCACTTGGGGGTGGTCTTGCCATCTTCACTCCCACTCTTTCTAGAGGTCGCTCGCCACAATTGCAACGACCCAGTCCGGAGTCGAACGAGGGTTCCGAACGACCAGAAGCTCCGACCTTCCTCCTCATCCGCCACTTCAAAGGCCTCAGACCTCGGTGCGACCGGGTGCGACCCGCCGTCGGTCGACGCTTCACGGTCCGGTCGACTCGACCCTGCGGGTGCGCCCCCTACCGCACCCAGGACGTCGGTGGGGGAGCTGCGGGGTCATTTTTTGGGGAGCTTCAATCAAAGACCATGGACCATGTGTGTCTGTGTGTGCGGTTTTAAAAATTCATCGGACCCCCAAATGGAGTAATTACAAGCTATTTCTGAAGGGATTCTGACTGGAGAATGGTCTATAATGTGAAAGCCGATCATGCAAGCGTCAAGACTCATCTTCACTGATCACTTTAGGGTCAGGTGTCAATGGGGTCAATGTTCTTGTCCAATTCCATCGGTCGTGTCATGTGTTTCCATGAGTCTTGAGAGTTTCTGTAGACTTGTTGATCATATTTCGTCATATCTCGACCCGCCAGATGAAAAGGTGTTTTATGTTTTTTCCATCCCAATGCAAGGTCAACCCCTCCAGGTGTTTTTGTTCCAATTGACGGGTTTTGGCCATTCAAGAGTCTGCATGATTCACTTTCTGGTCGCCTCGAGCTCCGAAACCAGACTCGCTCCGTTTCGGCGTCCCCGCACAGCCCGGCGTAGATCATTGACCTCAACGCCAGCAGGGGAGGAGACGAGGCAGCGACCACGGCCGAGAAGGGGTAAACCATGGGTTCATGGAGTTCCGGCACCTTGTTGTAGTTTGTTTATGACCTTTGCTAGTAATTGATCATGTATAGATACGATAGTAGATAGGTAGGTAGGTAGGTAGGTAGGATGGATGGATGGATGGAGGGATGGAGGGATGGAGGGAGGGAGGGATGGATGGATGGATGGATGGATGGATCTATTTTTCCCCCTGCGTTGTTAGGAAACAACATGCAAACAAGCATGCATATATGTGCCTGATGTTGCGTGATGAGCCATCAACCTTCCGATTCCAACCACCATCGATTGACCATAGTATTGCTTTGGCAACCAATGCAAAACCACATAAATCGGAGTCTGGAGTCTCACAGTACCTCGGAAAATGGGTATAGGTACCATGTATCTATGCATGGGGTCATGTCCCATGTTCTAACAAGCTTTTGAGAGTCCAGGTAAATATCATCAAATCAAATCAATGGTCTATGATGTTCTGCACTAGGCCACAAGGCCCATACTGCGATTGCTGGTACCAAGGCTACAAAAACGGACACCAAGCACAACGTATTTGATAAACATGTTAAATGATAACTTCACATACCATCACAAAGCCCTCCTCCTCGCTTGCCTAGGGCACTTGGCACCCACACATGTCGAAGATCCTCCAATGTGAGCTTTCGCTTGCCGGTGATCGGCAAAACCCATCGTGACTCCTTCTCGGGGCTGCTTGGCCGTGGACGCTGTGGTTGGGCTCGGCCGATCCAATCGTCGCTCCCAGTGACCCGGCCCAGTCGCCGGAACCGTCGCTCCCTCAGCAACTGTGAGCAATGTGTCGTTGCAGCTAGGGGAATTGACCATATTGAGCCAGGATCTCATGTGCTTTGAAGCTGTGAATTCTCAAACCCCACAAGCATGCAAGTTAGAATTTAGTGTCCATAGAGATGTCAACAGTGGAAGAAACCAACACCGCATAACACATCAACACCACTGGTTGTGTGAAGTCACTCATTCCGCTGTGGGCTCTCACCAAACAAACCCACGGGCGCCCGTGCCTCCGCGTGGCCAAACATGGAGACCGCACGGACCTCCAGACCGGTCGAGAGGGAAGGGGCAAGTCACTCAGTACGAAGGAGCCATCTAGTCGAAATATTCCCAGGAGGTCGTCAGGTGAATGGAAGGAACTCCACGAACTCCTGTTTGTTTGCTTTTGACCTGTTTGTTTGGGCGGGGTGCCCACCCCAATTCCCCTCAATCTTGGGTGTTTTTGGTGCTGTGATCTCCCCGCCCATGGATCTTCATCTTCCCCGTGCAGTTGGCCATACATGGCTGGTCATTTGGTCTTCCCTAGGGCTGCCGCCCCCTCCGTTTCGGTTCGGTGGGCCAGGGGTGGATGCCAGCGGGTCGTCTAACCACCGAACCCGAGGAGATGGGCCAGGAGCCCTGGGGATTGGAACATGCAGCCGAGGATCCTTCGTCTCTCCAACAATTTCTACCTTTCGACCTGATTGGTGGCTGTAGGGCCTGCAAATGGCCCAGGGTCCATGTTGGAATGTTGATGAAATGACACCCGGCTATGGGGAGTCTTATTCATCTTTGGACCACCAACCACCCAAAACAATTCCTATCCAAAACATTCCAAAACAAGGGTCTCATGGGTTCATCAACAGCACAGTATACATACACTCATGCTTGCACGATGAATAACACCTGGCGCCATAGTGTCTTTCAATAGGGAGACACCCGAAATCTCGCCCCTGGGGGGGTAGAACCGAACGCCGGGGGGAGTCTCGCCTGAAGCCGGTCCAGGTCGCACAACGCGGCGCAGCCGCCGGCGGAGGAGGCACCACCTCGGAGGGCGCCAGAAAAAGGTCCAGCTGTAGCAATGGACAGATCAAGGTGGTGAAGAATTGGCGTAGCACTTTCACGGATCAGTTTTACAACAGGATGATGAGATAAACCCGTTTTGAGTGGTTTCAGAGTGCTTTTTACTGTACAACAGCTGGACCTTTGGGTTTTCCAGGAGGGAAGGAGTCTCGGACAAGCCCAGCGAAGGGTCCTGAACGAACCCATCTTTCAGCTCCAGTCGTACCTCCAAACCGGCTCGGCATGACTGGACCCTCCTGGCCCCCAGGCCCCCATCGTCCCACCGAACCGAAACGATACGACTGGAGTGTTAGGGATTCCAGCTCTGAACGCCCACATCAGGATGTCATTAAAATAAACACACACACACAAACTCAAACTCAAACACAACAATCTCTATTCTTACCATCTGACCACGGCAAATGGCTGTTGAAGTGTTCGACCAAACGTGTATCTGACCACGCTTCTCTGGCAACTCTGAACCGGTTTTCCTCCGCCCAAGCGACAAGTCCTTGGACGGAAGAAGGCGAGCAGCAGCAGCACCTCATTGCTCGAGGTAAATGTGTCGCGCTCTATGTTGCGCTTGTTTTTCATTGAGGCAAGCATTGCAACACGATTAAATCATGTTGTCCGGAGAAGAGATTAGCAATTACATCGTTTTCTTGTGTTGGCGCGACTGGGATGCCGGAATCACACATCTTCCGGCACGCCATGTGCACAAACATGGGTTCACGCCGCACGCCATATTGGTCCCATTGAGATTCAAACGTGGCCAGTCACCTGAGAGAGCCTCTCTCAAGGCCTTGTGGGACTCATGTGTTCCATCTCTGTGGAACAGCGAGCAAGGCTGCTCAACCTCTCTAATGTAGACTCTTGATCAAACACCCCCCAATTGAATGCACGGACTTGCGGACGGTAAACGACGCGCCCCCACACAATCCCTTGCTGGATTGGAATCTTCACATGGGGGGTTATTAATCAAGAGTCTACATTAGACTTTTAGCTTGAGGCAACTGGGAGGCTGCAAAGACCTCGCCTCGGTCCGACCGTCCAAGAAACACCTGTTGTCAGGCTCAGAGCTTCACGTGCATGGAGAATAGGGAGACCCCCTAAGCAGTGGGTAGACTGGTCTATTGACCTCGTCCAAAGGGGTGACAAAAAGCTCGAGTCCAAATCGAAGAACGGTTTCAGAGGTGAAATGGCACCCGAAGATGTCCTACAAACATACACAACTTCAGAGTTATCAACTTTTTGGACATGTGTGCCACTATGTGTGCCAGCTACTACTCCGGAAAAAAACACAACATAAAACTATAAAGCGCTCTGTTTTGTCTCTCCTCTTGGCAACTTGTGGCTTGAGGAATCTTGCGTGCTCACTTCGTTTGGCTCATCAGCGTGGTCGACCCACACGACTTCCTCCGGAAGCCAAAGGTCGATTGAGTTCATTCCTTCTGGCCTCGGCTCAAACCCTTAAAACCTTGATCCGGATGAAGAAAACATGTAGATCTGGAAGCCTGGGGAATTCCTGGAGAGCATGCCGAAAAACCATCCCCCATCCCACTTTTAGCCCGCTGGGAATGATTGAATGACATCGAATCAACATGGCTACGTGGGTGGTAAGGGCCCCTGGGAAGACCATGTTCCGAAGACCAAACCGAGGAGTTTTCCACTTTCATGTGCTTTCTTTTTCCAGAGCGAGTCTATTCCAGCACGACCCAGGTCGGGTGCTTTTATGTTTTTCTCTCGAACCCCCTGAAGATGATTTTTTCATCAAATCACCACCCAAACTGGGTGGTGCTGGTTTATAGCTTTTAGTTTTAAGCGGTTGTCCTGTCCCACAATGGCATTGCTCGCTTGTCCTTGTCCCACAATGTCCCACCACCAATCTTCTGAGCTGCGGCTTCCGTTGCAGCGAGTGTTTGTTGGGGTTCACCCCGATCATTCTGATTCTAAAACATGCAAACTGCGGATTAATCAAAGCCCCTGCATGAAAAGCTCTACATCCAAATGGTTGTTGTTTATTCTTACAGCTGTTTTATTAATCCACTGTCTACGTTTACCTCTCACATTTAGTGGGAGCATGTGGGAAACTTGGATCCAGCGAGCGCCACTTGCGTAGAACTTCACTTGGGGTTCACACCAGAGGCCGTAGAATTTTGATGAATTGTGCTTCGGGAAGCCAACGCCGGGCACCCCGACAACCCCTTTCCGGGGCCTCATCGAGCAGTTGTGCTCGTGAGCTAAACAGATGGATTGCAATGGCCGAGGGCCATGGCTGGCAAAAGAAATGCATCTACGCGGGGAACAGGAACCTTTAGAGCTCTGTAGCACCAAAAGTGCCAAGGCTATTGTAATTGTAAGATATAGCTATACGCTTAATATTCACCATATTCGCTCTTGAATTGCAAATCGGGGTGGGAACCCTTCAGAACTTAGATTCATCAGTTTTACTGTACAATCTTGTGGGTTTTCTATTGCAATGATCACCATTGAAGCAAAAAATGGAGTATCTGACTGTCGGACTGCAGTGAGACTGCAAGAGTACGAATTAATTACATCCAAGGCAGCCTTCAAGAGTACGACTTACTACACACACAACCTTGTAAAAAGGTAAGTTCTCACGGTGAGAGTATCGTATCAATTCATTGTCATATCGATTCAAAACCGCGGGCGGAAAAGGGTGGAGGAAAACCGAAAAGGCCCTCAGCCATACAAGAAGTCCATCACTCGAACCTTGTAAAGTGCCCGACCTGAGCGCTGAAGAACGGACGTCGACCGGAAATGGAGAGTGCCCGAGTATAGGGTAGTAGCTCTAGGGCATGGCTAGGAACAAGGGCATGTCATTCCTACTAGTAACAAGATTCACCTCCTCCACCCTCCAAGGGGTGTCTATATAGCCCCTTAGCTGTTAAGGGGTGTCCATTAACCACCGGGGACCTCCCTCGCCCGGAGTTTGGACCTCCTGGGGGGTTCTCCCGTATGTCACACCGACATGGATGGGTGGCTTGTGACGTTTAGGGTCTATAGGGGCGGTTCGATCATCAATCTTCCTGGATTCCAATGTGGGTATGAAAGTGGTTCCGTTCAATCACTGCCTTTTGTCTGTGCTCTTCTTCCGGGGGTCGAACTGGGAGGTCTCCCTATGTTCAATTAGGGTATATCAATTGCCATGTAGGTACTGATTTCAAGTCAAGGGATGCTCGCCTGCTTGGAATTCACAGGAGGTGAGATGAACTGCGCCCAAATGAGCGTAGCAAAGAGCAACATGTGACACGTTTCTCCACAACCTGTTCTGCACCCCCAAAAGCCTTGAAGTGACGGAATATGGCGGAATGGAACACATGGAATCAGCAGTATACAGGTCAAGGACATCATTTGACTGGATTTCGGCATACAAGGACACTACTCAATGAGGTATAAAAGACCCGGTAAAAAGGGATCCTACAGCTCCGCTGTAGGGCATGTCACACGGCCGCATGTCTAAAGTCTACACTCTGACGAACACATCACATGAAAGTACCAGCAGAGGTTGAAGAACCCGAACTAGGCTATCCTATATATAGGTACCCCAGGTGACGCCTGATGCGGCATGAAGCCGCACAAGATTTGAGAAGTTGGCCCGTATGAAGCATCCCGACTCGCACTGGACCTGACACTGCACATGTGTCTACTTATATAAGGGCTTTCCGTTTCTGACATGTTATATTTGGATCAGTACTTCCCGCAAAGGCAAAAACGATCAGCCTAGTACACGGTGCGCACGTATCTGAAAGGAGCTGTTCTGAAGAACTCGAGAACTCGCTGAACTCGCTGAACTCGGCCAAGCGACAAAAGGCTTGAGTGGGCACCGCTTCCTGGTGCGCGAAAAAGGTCTGTGCAGTCGAACGAGAACTGAAACATCTCCTCTGGTGCTGGCTGACATAGGGGGAATAGATCCAAAGATTCACGTGCAGGACAATCCTTATCGAGCTGCTAGGACCCGTGGGACAGGACATGCATGCTGCATGATTTTCACATCCCTTTGAAACACCTTGAACAGCACTCCCTAAGCGAATAATCCACTACTACCCATCATTGTGCAGTCACATACACTCACCATTTGTATTACATTAGAGTTCTTCGTTTCGCGCACGACCCGGTCTGCCCTCCCGGCACGCGGCCGATGTTCCCTTCCCACTCAACAAGCCGCCCCGGGTCCACCAACTCCGGACCACACGATCCCACACGTGTTTGGCGAACCTGGCCGGTCAAGAGGGCAAAGAAGTCAGATGCAAAGGTTTGGCAGTTACCTCGCTTCCGAACGCCGCAGACCCGATGGGATGGGCAGACGGAACGGAACTGCGGCCCAGGGCGACCGTCAGAACGGGTGGGGAGCCCGGATGTTCCGGTGGAGCCACGGAACATGACTAACATAAAAACAGCCTGGAACCCAGTCCTGACCCCTGTTTTGATAGGAAGTTTGGCCATATGTTGGGCGGTTGGGGGTCCAAACTAGAGGTCATTCAAAGGTCCCAGTCAAGCTACAAGGGATTGGGGTTGGTTTTGACCCTTTTCGACCCACGGTGCCATGGTTCACACGTGGTGGGGCTGAAGGGGTGCCACAGAGGTGGGGAAAGGTGCCGCCTTTTCGGCAGTCTATCAAGACACGGATTGATATGATTGATAGGGGATAGGGGGAACTGAATTGGAGGGTTGAGGGAAGACCTGAACCTTGAAAAGACACCAGCTGGCCGTAACAAAAGGCTGGCTCAAGGACTGCAAAGCAAGCTCTCCGAATCCATGATGGGTGATTAAAACGTTGTCTTTGCTTTCCCGGCTTCTATCTTGTAACAGCACAGCAAAAGGCACCCGTTCAAAAGAAAAACTAAAAAAGACACAAAACACACACACACACACACACTGCGAAGGCAGCGCAACCGGCAGCGTATTGAGACACCATTCGCCAGCCTTCGTGAAATCAAACGCTCACAAAAAAAACGGGAACAGGCGGGCGAATGGCTCCGCCACATAGCACGGCAAAGCAATGTGAACCATTGTGAACCTAGAATATGAAAAAGGGCAAGAACATATAGTCCCCAGAACGGGGATTTTTATATACATATTCTGTGGGGAAAATACAATCATACCACGTCACCTTAAGCAAAACCAGCTAAAGATGTTTTGCAAAACCTAGAAGACTGTGGAGGTCTTGTTCATCCACCGCCCCAAGTCTCCAGAAGCGACGAGGTGCGGCTCGTTTCGACATACTGCGGGTTCTTGGCGATGTAGTTGAGAAGGTATTTGAGAATGTCCTCAGAATTGGATCACCGTTTCTTCTAAAGATAGGAGAGTGTTCGGACGCTACTAGCAGTAGCAAGAAGCCATTAGTAGCTCCTGGCATCGCGGCGTTCGGAGCGTTCGGACACGGCCCTTCTGCTTCATCTGCGGCAACACGTCCAAGTGCCCGGAAGTGCGCACTCAGGCTGATTTGGAAAGAAACTCAGCCCCGCATCTTCACTGTTCCTTATGTCCAAGGACCTCATTCACTATGTCCAAGGACAAGTGCAACCTTGGACTTGCAGGGATTGGTCTTTGATTCCCAAAGGGTCGATGAAAGCGCTCCTCTGCTCACCCTTCCGCCCGTCGGGCTGATTCCCGAAGGGATCGCGTTTTGCCTTTATCCGCTGGCCCGGCTGCGTTGGACGCGTTGGACTTGGCCAACAAAGATGCCAAACAAACCGATGTCTGTAATCACAAATCTGATCAAATCGTCAACCTCTGAACCCGTAAAAACACCCTGATTCAAAATCCGAAAAAGCATCCAACCAATCTCTACATCGAAGCCTGGAGCAACCGCCTAAATACACCCCCCGGAACTAACAATGGTTACGTGGAGAATGGCCCCGTAAGGAAGACCATGAAATCCACTACAAACAGGTGGTGAACTCCACTTCCATGTTCATTCCAGGGAGAGTATCTCAAAACACGAGTCCGACCTCGTCTAACTGCTTGCCAGAGGGTCCGCCACTGAACGATGCTGCAAACAGACCTGCAGCGGTTGGCTGCGTGAAACGGCCGGAGATGGAGGCTTTGGTACCTGGCCCCGCTTCCCTCCGGTGGGTCCAGTTGGCCTTGAGGAAAAAGGACATGGCCACCTCTACATATATATACACTCACCTTGTACCTACAAAAATCATGGCGGGCAGAAAAAAAGGCCGTGGCACTGGCGAGAGTGGAAGACTCTTGGCCGCTGGAGCGACCTGCTTCACATCCGTATTGCATTCCTTACAGTATATACCTCCAAAGCTCTGCCCCTTCAAGCGCATGAACTCTTGATTTTCACCCTGAAATATCACCTTCACCGCCGACCCGCTGGAGTGGTCGCGGTCTGACGCTGCCTGCCCGCTGTAGGCCACGTAAGGATCAAAAAAGCGCTGCTCGTCGATGCCCAAAGGCCCCGTGCCGCTGAATTCGTGCAGAAAGGATTCAAAGTCCTGGCGGATGGGGAAGACCTGTCACATAGACCCCATGGGACTGCCAGCCAGGACTGACGACCCAGAAAGACCCCCCTGCCAGCACCCCTGGCCGTTTCTCGGCAGTCCTATGGCAGTCCCATGGAGTCTATGGGAGTGGAGATATGAGTTCAAATGATGTTCAACATATTTCAACTGCCAATCGAACAACCGGTTGTTTTGGTTGGAGCCGGGCTTCGAGGTGCGGATATGATCCGTATCAAATAAACGAGGTCAAAACATATCTTGTTACTTCAAGTGATCCCCACCATGGCGTTGTACTTTGCTGATGACTGATGCCTATGGCTTCAACATCACCAGGAAAGAGTCTATCCTGCATGCATATATACTGGCATTCTATCCAGCATACATCGCGCATTCTGTTTGGCATATGTTCTGACAGTCTATCTGGCATGTTGGCATTCTATCTGGCATATTCGTGCAAACTATCTGGCACAAATTCTGGCATTCTATCTGGCAATATTATGTTGGCATTCCAGATTCCAATTGGCATGTTCTGGCAATCTATATGGCACAAATTCTGGCATTCTATCGGGCATATTTTCTGACACTCTATGTGGGAAATATTCTGGCATTCTATCAGGTATCTGGCAGCTACTTATTCTGGCATTCTATCTGGCATACTTCCCGACATTCTTTCCGTCATTCATTCTGACATTCTTTCTCGCACATGTTCTGGCATTCTATGAAGCATAAACTCTGGCATTCTACCTGGCATAAGTGCTGACATTCCTTTTCCAGTGGTGCCCACTGCGATCTGGCACTTGTGGAGGAGGAGGAGGCGAGGAAAGGAGGAGGAGGAGGAGGACAGCTGATAAAATCTATATAACAACCATCACCTGGCAAGTGGGGCATCACCTGCAGGTGGGGAAAAACATACTAATACATATTACAACATCAAACGACATCAAACCAAAAGGCTCACAGCTGACCTTCTCACAGCTCACATCTAAACCTTCGATCCATCTTCGCAGTGTTCCTTCGATGAGATACATGATGATACATGGTCTCTTCGCACCAACCCCCCGCGCAGTCCACCCGGCCCACCCACCGCAAAAACGCGCCCAACCCAACCAACTCGCGGCCGTTTCACGGCCACCGCCGTCCTTGAGGTTCTTCGCCGGGACGTCCACCACGCGGATCTCCGAGGCGTTGTGGTTCCACGGCGCCTGTTGGTTCGGCGGGGGCGAGAGGTTTCCCCGAAAAGCCCGGGACGGAAGGACGGAATATATCGAAGGGTCACAGGGTTGTGTTTCGTTTCGGAGGAATTCGGCTGAAAATGACCTGGATGGTTCGGTGGTTTGGGAGGTGTTTGGAGGGTCTTTCGGAAGAATTCTGCTCCACTGACCTGGAGGGTTTTCGGTGGTTTGGGGAGGTGTTTTGGAGGGTTTTGAATCATAGGTCGTCCAAGTATACCTAGGTCAGGAGAGGTGTACGGTACGACTGGAGTGACTAGTCGTCACTCCGGTCCATCTGCCGGAGTGAATCCGGTAGGATGAGATGTTGAGATGATGAGAGATGATTCACCCTAGGGATCCAGTCGTACCTTCTCAGAAGCTGTTTGGGGTGGGTGCCAGGAGGGTCCAGTCGTGCCTTCTGAGAAGGTACGACTGGATCCCTAGGGTCATAAGCTGAGCAGCTGATGTCTCATCAAACTTCCTGGTTCTTCCGTTCGTGACCGGAGCCCCAGATTTTTAAAGAGGCCTGAATGAATAGTTCAGCTGAAAAATGGGAAGCCGCGGGGTGAACGGAAGATGCTCGACCTCGCTCGACCTCGCTCGACCCAAGGGGGACGGGCATGGGATTGCCCAAATACGCAGGGGGGTCGGGTCGGCATCTGGGTCGGCATGTGGTGGTAGTTCCATGGGGTGTTTTGGCCATGTGACTCATGTCCCAACTACTCAGTAACTACTCTCAAATGAAACGAAGCAGCGCAGCCGCAAAACATGCCCTTCTATGATGTCACCGCAAAACAGGAGGACTGGTGAACCCCCACATGTGAAGCTTTTGTGCTCATAAGAAGTGGAGGCAAAAAAAAGCAGAAAACGGGACCAGAAAAAAGGCATGAAATGAGCGGTGGGAAGTACTATGCAGATGATGAGCGCAGCGCAGATGTGAAGATGTTGAACATGTGATGTCGCTCAGTCAAGTGAGCGTGGGCATCGAATGAGTCAGGGAGTGACTTTGGTGCGCTGGACTTGGTCGCTTCCACCGCAGCGAACCGTCAGACGGCCTCGTTGTTTCGACGTCCTCGCCTTCATCGTCGGGGGCATCGCGGAGAAAAAGCGATTGGGCACCTGACGACGTCGCGGAGCAGCGGAGAAGCGGAGCAGCAGGAAAACCCGTGATTCCAAGCAACATTGGAATGACTCTTCTCACAAACGCCACCATCGTAGTTAGAATAAGAATTTTAGACTACAACACCAGGTCAAGCTTCCTTTGAATGGTCTTTGAAGGCAAGGGTATACAGCAGTGGGCATGGTATATAGAGCGAGCATCACAATGAAGCCTCCATCGATGGAAGATTCCGACCCAGGTCAACCACCGGCAAACACGGAGCCCTAGGGATCCAGTCTTACCGAACCTGAGAAGATATGACTGGATCCCTAGGGGAGTGTCTGGGTCAATGGATGCACCACGAATCGAACCAGACCATATCGGAGCGTGACCACTCGTTCCACACGCCCAAATGCTGGACCATCGTGACCACTCGTACCTGGACCTAGAGCCAAAGCCAAGTATTCTCCAGCAAACCAAAGGGTTTGCCTTATGCCCTTTGAACACGAGTTCGTGATCAAGGTATCCCACACAAAGCATCCGTGTTCTACAATCACAACGTTGCAACAGCTGACCTGGATTTAACTTAACCCCGCCAAATGACTTGCCCGCATGTAAAACACTATTGCCCAGCAGCACCCAGTTCAGGTAGTAGACTGGTAGATAGATTCCCATGAGGGACTCCATGTGCTCACCATCCCGAGCTCTTTGGTCAGGTGGCGGCCCCTGGCCCTGGCCCTGCTGACCGTGCCTCGAGCTTGTCACGGCACCAGTTGGAGCGTCCCTGGTATCCACCCAGCCCATTCAGCCATGCAAGCTCGACGACGCTGCTGAAGAGACCATGACCTCAAAAGGATCTACAGTGGTTTCAGAGTAGATGGCACAAACCCCAAGAGGTGGTTTATATGAACCCCCATGTAAAGAGGTCTGTGCGAAACCACTGTAAAAGCCCAGCTGGGGGCGTGCTTTCAAATTCATCAGTGGAAGTTCGTGAACTCTGATCTTGGAATATTATGGAATATTGTGTTTTGGTTGACTTCTAAGATGGAGTTCAGGTTCTGTGCTTCTGCAAGGACCTTTTGGTTTACTCAGGATTTGAGACTACGAAACCAGGTCAACCAGTTGTTTGAATCTTGGATTGCTAGGGTAGATGCATCTCTTGGGTTCGCTCTGGGTTCTTCAAAGTGGCAACCCGTTGAAATCTGTTGAAACCATGGGGCTGACTTGCTGTGAACTGGATGCCCCATAGACAAGGACCATGTGTGTTTTCTTCTTGATCCAACGGATTGTGAAGCTGAAGCATGAAAAACCATTGGGGTACCCAGTGCCTAGCCATGTGAAGGAATCGGAGCCAAGGAAACTCCTATCCTGTTCCAAGGATGTATACAGACCAACGCACAAGGGGATTAGGCAACCCTGAATTCTATTCCGGCGTCACCCGGAAGGTTGGCCTGGAGCCATGTGTGGGTGAAGAAATTCCATGAAAAACACATCGCATCTCCTTTTGAAGAAGTGTTGGACTTGATGGGAGATAAAGGAAGGAGAGACTGGGAGTGTTTTCTTTCCAAAAGCGCATTCCTTTCTTTCTGTCCTTGACCTTCTGGAGCCGCCCTGTCATGCGACCAAAGGGCTCCACTCGATGAGCACCGCTCCTAGGTGTGGACGGTGTGGGCTCCACGGAGCAGCGCCCTACGGTGCCAATACCCAAACGCTCCATGTGACTGCCATAGGACTGCCGATCAGGCCAGGGGTGGTGCCAGGGGGGGGCCAATGTACTTCGGCAGTCCTATGGCAGTCCCATTAGTCGCGTCTGGTCATATGGTCATATGGTCAATCTGGGAGATCCACTACTTCCAGTGAGTGCGTGCTGAGTGCGGTTCCACTCAGAGCTTCCCCGGCACCGGTGCCACGGACCCACCGTGGACCGTCATGGGACCATGGAGGTGGTCGAAGGGGTGGTTGGGCTTATCCCTAGGGCTCCGAGTTCCGCCCCATCTCCGACCCGGTGACCGGTGGGCTCCGACCCCCCAAGACCACCCACCCACCCCTGGCCCATCGAACCGAAACGGAGGTGGGCCAGGAGCCCTCTATTATATAATATATGACCCAAGGCATCCAGGCAAAGAGCATTCTTTTAGCTCGCAACCAGTGGTTCCAAAAACGAAAACCATAGACCAAACGGGGGCCCCTGGTTCCTTACTACTAGTGGTTTGCCGGGGATTGACCAACTCCATGGAGTGGTATACTGCAAGTCCGCAAGTTCTGCATGCCCAAACCAACCACCAAATATCACCAAATAACCCCCAATCCCAGAACCCAACCTCCTCCAAACATCATAAAGACCTCCGCTGCTTGAAAACCGGTTTTTCCTCTGAAGAAAGGGGGACGCCCCAACCCAATGGGTAGACTGGTCTACTTTAAATCTTCCAGGAGGTCATTGCCTGGGAAGTCTCCCTATCTGAGCTACACATCCAATTTAAACAAGCCCCCCAAAGATATCTCGAACCAAAAAATCACTCCGCCCCGGAGGCCCCCCCTTGAACCCCAAACCACCGGCCCAAAAAGGAAAAACACGCACGTTCCGAAACCACGTTCCGAGTTCCGACGTAACGCCGGACCTTGCCGAGGTGTCCGTGCCAAATAAGGCGATCCTTGATGCCTTCCGTGGCTTTGGCGTAGCGATGGGTAAAGAAGTGACACTTCGTGGCCACGGCCTCCGTGGTGCTCCGGTGACTCCTCGGGGGGGTGAGACATGAGGACCGGATGCCATGCCTGGTGCAAGCAGGTTTGAGCATGGCACCAGAGTGCGCACCGAATGTGATGCTGATTTTGGGTGATGTTGACATTGAAATGTTGGTGCAACCAAAAGAATGGTCCTTATCCAAGGAATGGCTGGGTGCGCACAAGATCAACACCATCGAATTGGGACAGAAACAGGGTGCTAGTCGGGCAATTTAGACTGCAATTTAGTACTACTAATCAATGCTGCATGCATATATTTAGCTATATATGTATAGTTTTGTAATTATATGTGTGTGTGTGTGATCCCCAAATAATAGATAGAAACCGTTTCCAACATGGCGGTCTATGTAAGGTTTTGATCGTTGTGACGGATAGTCTCGAGTAAAGGGGAATCAGAATTCAGGTTGTAGTGCATGACGTTGAGATGTTTCAAGGGTTTCAAGGTTGTAGTGCACCTGGAGTCAGCCTGTTTGTACCTCGGAAAAATGGCTGCAAGTACCTGCTTCTTCATGTCCCATTTTCGGTACTTTGCAGGATCCAGGTAGGACCTCGTAGGGCGTACCTTATACCGGGTAGATCAATAGTCCCACCATGTCCCACCACATGCGTCCGTTCTCTTGATTTCTCTTTCAGATGCCATGAGGTCGTCCGCAGGAAACCCTGAGAATGTGCGCTCACGCAGGTGGGGTCATCCCGGATGACCACGGGCCGCATGAGTCCGGTTGCAGGGAACCACCCCACCCCATTTGGATTGAACCTCTTTTTCGGTGGAGCGCTTAATAAGGCGTATTATGAGTCTACTATTACCACCTGCCCCTGCCCCAGGTCAACTTGAGCGGCAAAACCGCTTCCCAAAGACCTTGTGGATCATCATCTTGGGCAAAAGCACCGAGCCACGCCACCCCTTCTCTGGAAGTACTTGCACCTTCGAACCCGCCCTTCGTCCCGCCTGGCAAAGTCCACCATCTCCTGGCCATGCAGCACACGGTCGTCCAAGCACGAGGCATACCACATCCTCTGCAGACGGCCGAGGTCTGTCGCGTGAGGTGAAACCTTCGAGAACAGCGCCGCGGAGAACACTGGAAAGCGCCGCCCCAAAGAGAGGTTTTCCTGGAGAAAATGAAGGAATTCATTCACGTTTTGTTCACTGTTCTATAACCGACTGGGTCGTTATTCGAGATTCATTGTTGCCGAAACAACTGGAAGTCCAATAAAGCCTGATGATCTGGTACAGTAAGCATCATGTGTATTCATGTGTCACATGCCTTGGTTTCACATGTCCTCTTGTCCTCTACAAAACGATGTCATTTCATTGTGGAAGTCAGATGCACTTATATATATATATTATATATATATGTGCTAAAATACCAACAATAACTAATATATATATATATATATGTATTTATGCATATATGTATAATCACACGATCCAAAACCAATGACTGCACTTCTCAATAGGTTCCGCAGCCATCTCAATCTCAGAATACCCTCCAAGCGCAGAACGTCGGTGTTTAAGTGTTGCACGTCCGGGAAGCACAAAACAAACCAGCTAATTTAGAGCCCCTGTACACCGTGCAGTTCTCAACAAAGTTGACCACATTCAATATGTTTGCATACGTAAATTTACATATAGAGCATCCGACGGGTCAATCACATGCCACGGTTTTTTGCATCCGACGGGTCAATCACATGCCACGGTTTTTGGAACACGGTCTTCACCATGTGGTGCTTCGATGCCGCTGTGGATGCTGTACGTCTCCAGCTTCGCTTCAATATTCTAAGCACTACAAAAGGAGTTATTCAGGGTTGATGACATAGGAGTAATTGCGGCCCGAAGGTAATGAATTGTGGTGACCGGTGGACCATGCTTCTTTGGTAAACTCAATGTCAAGAAGGATGGCACAGGAGTGAGTTCGGGGCGTGCGACCAAACATGCAATGAACAACATATTTCCCCAAATCAAGAAGTGTGTGCCGTCAGTTGTCCAATCAAAACTGATGTTGGTGCGCCCCAGCCTGATGACATAGGTTGCTGGTCTGGCATCCCTTGTGTCATTAAGTCCTGTCACTGGCTGGCAATATACCCGATCCGGTGTTTCAAAACAATGAAAAACAGAGGTTTTCACATACAAAACCATGTTTTTTGCTAGGGAAAGCTGGTTTTGATGGTTTGTGGCGCCCCAAACAGGATGGCAAAATGCGCCACCCAGCAAGCACGTGGGCGCAATTCCCACCCCGCCACGCCCAGCCACGCAAATCCGGGAGAACTGGGCGACCAGCCTAGACCTGGGGAGTTGGAAGGGTAGCCTAGCACCCAGGGTCCAGAATATGTTTTACTACATTTTATTACAAACATATCAAGAACTCTAAATGCTCCAACATTAAAAACAAAACAAGGATAAACTGAACATTAAGTTCTGTAGTTTTGCTGGCTGCTGACAATCATGAGACTTTTTAGTTCTGCGGGCCACCCAAAAAGTACATATAATCTAAAACTTAATTAATGTTTTTCATATTTGGGCTTTGCGGGCTACTTAAAAAAAAAACACAAAAACAAAAACCCATCAGGTTCCTAGGTGTCCAAGCGTTTATATGTTTAAGTTTATATAACCATAAAAATAAGTCTCCATGTTTAAGAAACAAAACACCACAGCAAACAACTACATATAGTTTCTTTACGTAATGTTTATTACGTCAAGGGTTAAACAAAAAACATATGTAGTTGGTTTTAGTGGCCGGCAAATCTAAGAATCAACTAAATATGTTTGGCTTTTATAATGTTGATTGTACTTCTTCTTGAATTCTAAATACCTGGAAACCTAGGAACCTGAAATTGATCAAAAACAACAGATTCTATTGCTGTTCCTCCTTGCCACTCCTTTACAAGAGTGAGACATCACGAAACACGACTTTCCTACAGCACCCCTCCCGAGTCATAAAAAGGAGGACCGAGGACATCACGTTGGTTCCAAACTACTTCCACTGGTCAGAGGTATGCTAGTGTTGGTTCTCTGTCACCCTTGTCCCTCAGTGTTTGTTGCAAGAAAGGCAAGCATTGTGCAAAGTATAGTGCAGTTATACTACTCTTCCTCCTCCCTCTGTTGAAGGCAAACGACAAAGGATGCTACCGCTGTTCCTCTTTATAATTCCTGGTGCAAAGGAGAGTTGTGAGGACAAAGAATAACATCATGTTCTTTGAGTGAAAGGGGGCGGCCTTTCTTGAGGTGGAAACAAGGTAGTAATAAGGATGGAAAGTATAACGGACAACAAGTAAGCAAACTAGCACAGGATGGATACCAACATCCTTCTTGCACAGAAAGGGAGAGAGACAATAGTAGGAACAGGTGTAAGAGTGCAACGGTTGTTCCAAACAAGCAAGAGCACGGCCGCTGGCGTTAGGTGTGATAGGTCTTTTCTGCGCGTGGTGTGATACGCCGCTGGTGTCGTTAGGGCCGGTCAGGGTGACTTTCCTGGGGAAGCGAGAGGTCCAGAAGTCAGTCTTCTTCATAAATCAGAGGTGCAAGGAAGGAGAGTAGGAACATGCGTGGTCCTCTTCTTCAAGCAATGGCACTATAAAGGTGCGTGATTTAAAAAAAGAGCAGCAGCAGCAGTAGGAGGAGGAGCAGTAACTTGTGTGCAAATCAATCCATTGATGCTAATGATGCGGACTTATGTAGTAACAAAAGGTGTTCTTCCCTCATCTATCGATCTATTGGTTGACATATAGTTCGGGTGCTAAATAATGTGTCATGCCATGGTTGCCCATGGTCAAATCAAGGAAAGTCGTAATTCGTAAGCAAGAAGCGAATTACGAAGGCCTGGCGGCCTAAGGAAAACGAGGAACATGTTGATCCTAGCAGTTGCATGGGAGGGAGTTGCATGGGAGGGAAGCAGAAATTGAGGAGCCGTGAGGAGTGAGAGAGGTGGCATCGCCTGGACCCATTTCTCTAACCAAGGAAAACCATAATTCGTAAGCAAGAAACGATAGGAAGGCCTAAGGATAACGAGGAACACTCCTGACCCTTGCTTGATGGACGGGAGTTGCGCGGGAGGGAAGCACCGCGCTGCCCAAATAGTAAACAAAGCTACTGTACTTCGCCCTTCGTGAACCTACGTACCATCATATGCTGGCCAACGGGTTGTCATATTACACGCGAAGGTCACCCCGGCATATTAACATATAAAAATGTTAATTACACACACACCTTGTCCCCACACCGGGGGCATTTCTTACCACGCTCGTCACGGCCCTCCGCAAGGGAAATGGCAGTCGCCGACTGAAAACCCAACAGGGGGGCCACGAGTCACACACGTTCAATGTTCAACTTCATGCACCCCAGCCCGGAAAATATAACACGCCTGAAACACAACCATTTCCCTGCCGCTGGCAGAATGTTGCATTAACATTTTTTTGGCAACGGTTAACACATTTGAAACTGCTGGCGTAAAGAACCCCAAGCATCTTCCAGACATGCCTTAGCAGGCTACAATCCTGAATCAGCAACATGCAGCCAAGGCGCCTGGCTCAGCTATAATGCAAACTCATGGAAACTCACCATGTTGCTGAACCGGCCGGCATGGAGTTGGCACAAATCCACGCCAGAATATGTTTGTTAGGTTTGGTCTAGCAAGGGGGACCTCCTTCCGGCCTGAGGACTGAGGACCCCCAGTCGCTCACCAGCTCGCCTCCTATAAGCAAATTACAACAGGGGTTTGTACCCTCAACCCCCCTTGTTGTTGAGCGTAAAATCCGCTCGTAAACCTGTCCCAGCGACAAAGACCCACCTCCGTCCTTGGCTCACCAAGCAGCTGGTCCAGTCGGAGTCTCTGAAAGTGCCGCCTGGCGTGGTTGCTTTGCGCGTGTGGACTTGGTCACGCTGGGATTTTAGCCAGCCGCCAATGTTTCTTCCCGAACAACCATTGCCTTTCTGAGGATGTTTGACTTCTGTATGTCACCCTCGCTCCCTGCCTCTGATAGGCTATGAAAGGGCCGGGTAAATGATATGCCCACTGTCCAAACTGCACTCTATGACTTGGGCGGGATGCCCAACTTCCCTTGAACTGACGAGAGGAAGGCAAAAAGCAAAAGCGACCAAGGTGGGAATTGCCCTTGTCCAACTCCCCCCCCCAAGCATGACGTGCCTGTTTCACATCTGAAAATGGGACACGTACTAGCAACTGGCAAGGAAGCACATCATGTCAGATGTTGGGAAAGCATTCTGTGGGCGTACTGTCCACTGTAGGGTCCCCACCCCTAAGGGTCCACCATCCGAGTCGGATATCCTGCCGATCGGCCCTTTGTCTGGAAGTATGTACTCACCTCCCATGCGAAAAGGAGATACCTGGGCCCTCAGGAAACTGTATAAATGCAACCGATATATTAACTGCACTTCTAAGACTCACTACCCCCACTCTGCGCCTTCCACCAGCCCCAGAACGGAACGAGATGCGAAAACATACGAGGGCCCCTCGGCCGCCTTGGCCTGTTCCGGGCGAAGACTCAAACTCCTTTGGGCATCCCATGGGCCACTAACAGTGGATCATGATGGTTAAGCTGCCGACCTCTCAAAAAATGCCGATGATTTTTGACCTCTACGGTTTTTTTTGTTCGGCGTTGGGCCACACCCAAAGTTGAATGGATCATATCTCAAGTCTCCAAACTTCCTCAAGTCACGATGAAGTCGGGTCCAACTGGCGAAAGAGATGCCGATCTCAAAACACATCTTGGTGATTCTCAGTTCCAGTTCCAGCTCGGATCATGGCACCTCCCAGATCTCCGCTCATGCTTTTCACCCACCTCCGGGCGACCCTCCCCCATCGCCCCAATGGTCTGTTCAGGTCACGCACGGAGCGAAGCTTCTTGCCTGGACCGGATCGTCGACCAGGGGAGAACACGGGAGACATACCAGCTGGAAACAGAAGCGTTTACATGTGCCTCGAACCCAGTCCTGACCCCTGTTTTGATAGGAAGTTTGGCCATATGTTGGGTGGTTGGTGGTCCAGAGGTCATTCAGGTTCTAGGTGTGTATGCATGTGAGTAATTGTGAGAAAGTGTTGGTACATCTGTATATTTACACTAAAACCAGCTGGCTGAACCAAACAAATCATGGCCGACATAGAAACCTGCTGGCTGATGAAACAAATCACCAACACTCTGGAGCAGGACTGGTTCGATGCTCACCATTGGATTGTAAAGTTGTAAAGCCTCATAAAGCCTCCCTCCTTATCAGACCTCATAAAACAGTGTGGAAATACCATCCAGAGTCTACATTTCTGTGCTTGAAGCTGATCTGAAAGATAAGCCAAGATAAGCCCACGGAGCGCCAACAGCTCCTGCTTGTGTGTTCCGCCGGTGCCACTCACCTGGACCTGGTTTCAGGGTGTTCCTCAGACCGATCGACCGAAGGAGACTAGAAACCGCCCATGCAGCTACTGCAGCACCGGTTGAACCAAGAGAGGTCTCCAGTGACAACGAACGGACCCGGAACACCAGTTTCCCGTTGAAGGGCTCGGATCCTCCAAACTCTGGCGATCACCAGGGTTGAACCCCGGCTCACCGTACGGACTTCCTGACCGCACCTCCCTCAGACGTGGGTGGATCCGAATCGGCCTTGCTCACGTGGAAACAAGTCATTTAAGCCCTAAGCCGGTCCGATCGAACACCTCAAAGTGGAAACCTCCAAGATCTTCTCTTCGGTGAGGATGAAGCTGCGACCTCTTATCCTCTCTCCGCCCCAACCAATCCCAAACTGTCCCAAGTTCGGGGTCGTACGTACGTTTCTGCCGTCTCTCGTACTGCTGCTCTCTCGCTCTCTCTCTCGCCCCTGTTCCCGTTGGGGTCTTGAAGACGCTCTCCCCCTCCGCCCTCTCTCTCATTCACGCCTTTCAGGGCGCTCAGCACGCTCACGGGGTCACTGGAAGGGCTCTCCGCACCCTGGAGCCACAGGCGGCGCACACCGATGCTGGTGGTCCCCACCAGGGATCGCACCTGTGGCGCGCCACGGGAGGGGCGTGGTCGACCGGTCGGCCGGTGGTTTAGAGTATGAACCACGCTAGATGTACCAGGGCCCCCTAAACCAGTGGATCCCAGGAAAACCACTAGTAAGGAACCAGGGATTCGGAACTGGTCTATGGTTTTAGTCTTCATGTTGGGGATCTTTTGTTTGAGCCGCTTTAGTCTTCACAGCTAGAACGTGTTCTTGCGCACCAGCGTGTTCTTACGCTCCAGTGAATGCGGATCCAGAATCCACCCAGTGCTGGAACTCCGTGATGAACACCCTACAGCCCCCTCACCACAGGTGGCTTGGCTAGACAAAACAATCGTAGCCTTTCGGGGGGTGACTAGTGACTATATTAATTAATAAGCTTTGGACCGGGGACTGGTAATTGTTTTTCCGCAAAGCTGTTTCATTCTGGCTCTGCCTCCGATACATATCTTTTGCGCATGATTGTTCCTGGTGATCTTGACTCTCGAGGCTGCAGCTTAGGCTTCTTTGCGACAACGGGTGGAATTATCTGTTTAAATGAAGTTGCGCATAGTTGCGCAACGACAGTTAGCTCTATCGGACATGTGGCAGTCAAGCACATCTGCTCGTCAGCCATGGTAATACCATCCAGGGCAACCAGGCAACCACGATGTCGCTGGTAACCAGTGGTTCCAGTTCGACTAAAACCATAGACCGGTTCCAAATCCCTGGATCCTTATACGTAGTGGTTTGCCTGGGGTCCACTGGGCATCTTTCCAGCGACTCCCAAGTTCTCGCCGTTGACTTCAAACCGATCTCGTTGGCATCGACTCATCCCCCACGACCTGATGCTGCTCCCCACCCCCAAACAATATATATTTTTATATCATGTTGCTTCATGGGGACGTGTCTATATAAACAGGAGTCTCATGGATTCGACTAGGGGGGTTAGACTAATCAAGAGTCTACCAGTCACATTCGTCTGGTTTTGGACCCGATCTTCGCTCCTTTTGTTCGGTTTCCAAACCCGCGCGCGAAACCGCACGGATGGAGAAACGCGTGGCCTTGCACGTGATGGAGACGAGTTCTAAGTCTTTGAGACCGGGCCAGCCGTTCAGTTCTCCTCAGACCGAACCGGGCCAGCGGTGAAGATCTGACGGAAGACCGTCACAGCTGATTCCCAAAGAAAGAAACATAACCTCGACATGTCTATACCCAAACGCTCCATAGTATGCCATATATTCCATACATGGAGCGTCTGGGATATATCTTATGGATCGCTGTGCAGCATAAAGCTACAAACAAACTGGTACCAGCACCATCCAGTTGGCGACTCCATGGTCGTGGCCCCAGGCCTTCTTAGCCCACCAGTGCTGGTGATGCATGAGCTGGGCACTTTCGGAAGTGGCCCCTTGACCGATTCTAGTCAGCATCCTCCAGGTCAAAGGAATTGATCAGTCCAGTCAGTAGATTGGATGGAATCCCTTTGGCCTTCAGCATCAAGTAACCCCCTGTGCACATGTGAACATGTTACAAAGATCACCACCTTCCAAGGTGGTGACACCTTCTACATCTCGAACAGTGGCGGCGATGGCGGGTGGGGGCGATTGCAACTACCGTACCCAAACGATCCATATGGAACGCCCTCCTGGAACTTCACACGGAAGTGGAACATGATTCGGTTGGATCCCTTTGGCGCCAAGATGTGGTTTACGTGGCTGGTGTCCTTATGGTTTTGCGGCGCAGTGCCAAGTGCAAGCAAGCCTCCTGAAAGGATCCAAGCCCCCCGCTCGTTCTGCACCTCTGGAAGTGGAACATGAAGCATATCATCTGGTTGGAAGGTTTCAGCTCCCTCTGAGCAACATTAGTTGCTTCATGTTCATCAATCCCAAACACGACTAATGCGACTGCCATAGGACTGCCGACACATTGACCCCCCTGGCACCACCCCTGGCCGTTTCTCGGCATCTATGGCAGTCCCATGAGTCGTGTATGGGTATTTTCCCCTGGGGCTCCAACTACCTCCTGAGAAGATGGTTATGGTGCGTGCCAGGGGGGGTCTAACCACCGAACCCAAGGATATGGGCCAGGAGCCCTGGGGTTCATCCATCATCCCAAGTAAAGCTTGCACATCACAACATCTGAAGCAACATCCTTTTCCCAGCGCCGCAACGCGCCACGGTCACATGATATGGGCCCAGTTGTCTTCCCCGTCGTGTTCTGGCCTCTCTTCCAGTCTGGACCGGGGAGGGACTGTTAGCCAGTATCATCCAGGTGTAACATGCCATCTTTTCAACCAAAGGACCTGACTCGCCAGTGAGTACCATGAAAAACAAGCTTGCCAGGTCTTGTGGACAAGGTCTAAGGTCATGTAGACTCCCAAAGGAACAAGCATGCCCCTCATTTGGATATTCAAATCTCTTCATGTGAGGTTGAACTTCAAGAGATCAATGCTCTCTACCACGTCGGATCTTTCCGGACCCATCCAAGGAATCAGTCGTTCCAGCAACTGTGAGAGCTTGATGTGGGGCATTGGGCGGCAGGGCTTCCTGAGGGAGGTGATGAGAATCTGAGAACGAGCCTCGCGGCTGGGGTCTTGGGATGGTGGGGTGGTGGGTGTACTTCATTGTGCTTCAGGTGGGGTGGATGGCTTGCTGAGCGCAGTTGCGAGCCGGAGACGGCAAATGTAAAAGGCACACACCCGTTAAGTTGTAAAAGGCAGCTGTGGGCGTATTCATGATAGTCCACCTTGGTGAATGTGCAAGCAACGCGGTTCTTGATGCTCTTTGGCCTCTTTGCTCCAAGAAGGGTTGCGCCAATGGAGGGTTGGACATTCAAAACCCTGAACATGATCTCTGCAGCAGGAGCCCCACAAACCATCAAAAACCTGGTTTTCCCTAGCAAAAAAAAACATTGTTTTTGTATGTAGTGAAAACGTAAAAAACAACATCTATTTTTCATGGTTTTGAGGGCCCCTGGCACACGCTGCATAACTAGATAGATCTTCCAACTCTGCAAATGCTTTATTTTGCCTTTTGGCGGGTTTTCTATGAATGATAAGGACTCCTTGCACAGTTGGAAGGTCCAACATCTGCACCCTCAAACAAAAAAACTGTTTCTTCTCGGCCCTTTCTACAGGATGGATCGAGCGGCCAGGCTTCTACAGCGCACCACGTGGGATGGGAGCACATGAGAGCCAAATATTGGAACAACACCCGACAGCCTTCGACCAATCCCCAACACTGGGACTGCCATACATGCCGCCCCATGGTCTCTCCCGACTCACCATGTTCGTAGCGAAAACCGACTCACTGGGCCTCGTCCAACGTCCAACGTCGCACACCGTGGACGCTTGCTGACGAGTGGCAGCTCGCCTGGACGACTACACAGCTTCTTGTGGAAGAAATCATCTTGGACGATCTGCGCGTGCCACTTACAGCCGGTCATCTTGGCCGCCTGCGGCGGAAACCCGCGGAGTCGGCACGGGCACGCTGCCTTGCCCGGCCGCGGACGCTCCCTCCACGCATGGAAGTTGACAACCCACTTGTTTCTCTGTACGACCATGGCTCGTCATCAAATGAAAAACTGTCTGCAATGTTGAATAATGTTGACAATTAAATGCAAGCCATCTTGTTTCTGCAAGTTTAGGTTTTTCCTGGTCGTTGATGTTCCTTCCTTCTACCCAAACGCTCCAAACAGCCCTCCAAACGGGATTCGTTCGACCCCAAACCCTTCCTATGAGGTCCGACCCCTACAGTGCGGATTCGGGCCCAGGGTCATTTTGATCATGTCATGACCCGAACTTGGCGATGTCATCTTTGGGTCCACGCCATCCACACTGGAAGAGTTCCATACCCTAGGGATCCAGTCGTACCGAACCTCAGGTACGGTGAGAGTTATGTAGGTGCCATTGTCGGGTCCAGTCGTACCGAACCTGAGAAGATACGACTGGATCCCTAGGGATACATCCCTGGGGCTCCAACATATCCTCAGGTTCGGTGGTTAGAGCCCCCTGGCACCCACCCCAACCACCATCTCCTGAGAAGGTTGGAGCCCCCCAGGGAGGGATACATCTACCCCCCATGATGACCCTAACTCGTCCAGCTTTGAACGCGAAGTCGATCATCGTGTGACTCCTTGAGTGGTTTTACCATGGTTTTACCTGTTTGACCGGCATTTGGTGGACGAACTAACCCCAACGGGTCGCAGCTGCCCGACAGGTCCAGGCTGACACAGGGTCCGACACAGGTCCGGTTCCTGGTGACATCCGAAAACCACATGGTCGAGTCGTGCTTCTGCATGATCTTTCCTCCAAAGTGAGGTCTTACTGACCTGTACAGGGAATGAGCTTTCAACCACCTCTTTTTCCCTCACTCGCTGGTCTAAGGTGAGTCTCAGAAACCCGGGGCCTGCGCAGCAGTCACTGGAAGGCCCTGCGCAGCAGTCGTGGGTGGGACTCGATTCCTTCCCGTGTCCACCATTCCTGGAGAATACGGGTCCACCAAGCGTTTTCATCTGTTTTTAGTGGGAAACCAATCCCCCACAATCCCCCCCAAATCATGTAAAGGTGATCCAAGTTTTCTGGGGTTCTCGGACAAGCATCGATATTAAGCGATATAGGTCTAAGTGCTGCTTCTCGATTCCTTCCTGAAACCTCTTCCACATCCATTGCCATTCAGATCCTTCTAATGGTCGATGGTCCACAGCGGCCACGGCCAGACTCGGACATGACTCGACCGGAAAAACGTCGTCGGTCTGTCCAACGAAATGGTTCGAATTGGCCAACAAGGATCTGGAATTCTCCCAGGGGGCATGCTGAAAAGGCTACATTCTATTTCTCCCTTAGTTTCCGTGAAACAAAGCTTATCCTTTTTGTTTTCAACGAGAAAACATCCACAAAAACGTCTGTTAAGTCTAAAGGCTAAAGATTGTCCGCTGATTGAGTATGTTTCGCAGGGCTGATCTGCAATCCAAAAGCCAGTGACAACGAGGCTTCAGCTCCCAGCAATCCTGCTTAGGATTGCTTCAGGCTTTTTATAAATTAGACTCGTCAATCACAGTAGGCATGACCCGACCCCCAACAAATGATCCTGGCAACTCACCCTACAGTAGCTTTTCTGTTTACCCTTTGGGGGAGATCTGCCTATCTACTGAGCAAGCATCGCATGAGTATGACGAGAGTATGGCCAGAGTAGGAGGGGACGCACCAGATTCACCACTGGTTGGAAGGAATGCAATTCGAGAATTTGACCCATGCAGAGCTGATGATTCTTGGCGACCAGTTCTAGCGGCCGCAGATGAGTGGAGAGTACCCCCCAAGAGTACCGGCTTCCAAGTCCTGGCTTGAGTGGAATTCCCGTTCTTGATCATGAAGAGCTTTGCTGATTCCACCTTTATTGATCACCTCTTCATCCGTTTTTCATTCGGCCTCCAAACCTCCTCCCAACCCCTCGCCCTCGCCCCTCGCAATCGCCAAAATCGCTTTACTGCTTTTTGGCCAAGCAGCCGCTGTTGGAACCTCCTCTTCAGGCATGGCCTCCCGGTGCTCCGAGCAATCAGATCCTGCTGCTGGATGTGGTGCGCTGATGCGGTAGATGGATCCAGGCTGGTGGACTGGACCGTGCCTTGTGAGCGAGAACCGTGCCCTCTGGACATTGCTCTTTAAAGAGGGGATTGGTGGAGACGAAGATCAATTGCGAAATGGTCATCTCAAAATCCACCCTCATAACCACCCCGAGAGCGGACCAGGCTGTGTCCTTCGCCTTCCTCCATGCCAGGGCGTGGAGAAGGGGGAACACCTCAGAGACAACTGCCAGCCTCAGCCTTCATTCACCTGCTCTAACACACTTTGAACAACTTGACAGGGCTTGGGGTGGCCTTTTGATGGGTCACTCCCAGTTCTGGAGACCTTGAACTCTGGAGACCTGCTCCCCTCCGGATCCCAGCAGCTTGGACCCCAAAACAAGCTCGGCAGATCTGGTCAAATCGGTCGATCTATTGGATCCACATCCAAGTCCGGACGTCTTCGAATGGCCCTTTCGGCCTCTCGAAGCTCGCAAATGAAGTGCAAACGATTGCATTGGCATACCAGGATCATCCTGTCTGGGTGTCCAATAGACTACCCTACCCTACGTAAACAGGTCTCCATTCGGCACCCGTTGGAAGTGCTAGGTAGAAATGAACCATGAACCACCCTACAGTGCCCTACAGTACTTCCTGGTGGCCTTTCCAAGCTTCAGATCTCTCCCACCGTCCGCCTCCCCCTGAGCTCTGCGCTGACTGGTGGCTGTGAGCTTCCATAAGGGCTGCTTGTTCCTTGCACGGGAGATGAGCCTCCGCAACCTTGAACGGCGCTGCTCTCCCAAACGGCGCAGGGCGCCACCGGCGACCAACAGATTCACGACTTTTGCTGCTCCCGATTGCTCGTTCGCTGCTCTCCCGGTGCGACTAGGTGCTTCGATTCTGAGTGGGCCTTCAAGAGGTTCTCTGTCTGGAGAACCCGCATAACTAGTGTACAATAGGGCTCCCAGCCAGGCGACCCCCTTGAAAGTGCTGGTCTTTAAGGCTTTCTGATTTTATGGTTAGCGTTTGTAACACCAAAACGCTGGCGCCCGCAGCACCACTGCCCCACGCTCACTTAGTCAGTTCAGGCGAGAGGCCCATCTCCGACAGCGGAACGCTTAACATGTGGGCGCGCACAGGCGCGCGCACGGGTATTTGAAACCGTGGGCTTTGAGGTGCGCCTGGGAGTGTCCCAAAGCCTACTCGACCGGGCTATGCCTTTAGTTGACTGGTTAGGGTTGAAAAGGTCAATTGCTTGCGGAT